GGGCATGGCTTGAACACTGGTAGAAACAAGCTAGTTAAGTTTCTAGTGCCCATTTTGTTTCCCCAAGGTCCTCCTACATTTTTATTTCCTTTTTTCAGTTTTAATATTTTTATTGAAGTATAATTGATTTACAACATTGTGTTAAACCCTACATTTTCATTTCTTGAGTCCAAAGAACAGGAGCAGGAAAGCAGCAGTCCGTTAATGTGAAGGAGACATATCATTTCTTTTTTCTTAAAATCCCCACTCCATCCCAGACCAGCCTAGTCTAACTTTGAAAGTCTTGGCTTCCTAGAGTAGAATGTCTAGCCATCCTGGAAATCTCTCAAATCTGTTGATGAAACTTGAGCAATAAATGGACACTAATCAGAGAAACCCCATGATCATGGGAATTGGGAGTGGGGACTATTCTACAAATTGAAGAAGGTAAAACCCTAGATGCAAAACCGCTAATAACTTATAACCCACCTATGAGACATCCAGTCACAGAAACTGATATATATGAGAATTTACTAACCACCCAACTAATACGGTCATCTGCATTTCCTCCCTTCTTCTTCTCTTTGAGTCAAGCTAATCAAACAGACCTGGTAGAGGGCAATTTTTCAGGCTGTTCGTAGGCACACCCACTTCCCATATTATCTTAAGGACTTTTCATGATGCAACTGTTATAGACAAGCCCCTAAAACATCAGATTTGAGGAAGACGTAAGTGGAGGGAGACAGCACAGAGATTCACCGTGAAAATCTACTCATGCACTTCTGGGTGATGTGGCCAGGACACTGTTGTCCCCTGACCTCTGGGCAGGAAAGGCTCACGGAGAAGTTTACCCAGCTGACAAAGTTTGGGAACCCGCCATCCTCACTGGAGGCAACGCTCCATCCTACTGGAGGCCTTCCTCAGGTGCCAGTGTTCCCAGGCTGATGCTCCCTGCCCAGTGGCCTGGTGGTCCTGGCATCACAAGGCTTCTTGACAATTTTCCCTGTGCCATCCCCTCCTCTAGCCTCAGTCTTGGCTTCCTTTTCCATCAAAAGGCAGCATGCAACTCAGCAAGCACCTGTCAATACTGCCATAGGCACCATGGTTGCCAAGACAAACTTCCCACACCCAGTATCTGCATGCCGAGGGCTCTTCCTGTAATAAGATGGCCCCATGAACAACCCCAGTGAAACTTACTAAGTGCTATAATCATTCTGTGATGAGGTTTATGCAATCTCAGGGGAGAAAATGACCATGTTTGCCTAGGGAAGCTGAGATGGCATCCGAGAAAAGATGTTATGTTAGGTGGACCTCAAAGAATGACTCAGAGCTGCAGAAACTCATTGTAGGTGGAGGAAAGAGCACTCCCAAGGTCAAAGATGCCTAAAACAACACTTCTCCCAATCTCTCCAGCCAGGAGAGATTGCCAGAGGCCATCCAGCTGTTTAGTGGAAGAGCTGGCATCAAAACCAGTTCCCCTCATGGTCAAGCTGGTGGTCATCTCACCACCCATTCTTGGAGTTGTTCCCTTTAGGATGCAGTCTCTGCTAGGTAAAAACAAGTCTGACAAATGTGCCCACATTTTATCTTTAAATTTCAGTTTCTTTTTTTCACACTATATTATATCTTGAATAATAAAGTTTTCAATTACAATTTAAGTTTCTAACCATTCCCCACCTCCAAATCTTGAGTGAAATTGACTCTGCTAGAATGTTTCTTGTCTAATCAATGTTTTCAGACAATTTGGAGGATAAATGAATTCAGATTTGAGAAAAAGGCTACCAGCTAGCTGTTGTGACCTCTCAGGAAGAGAGAAAGATGAGTCATCAGATATTCTTTTTTATGTTAAATGCAAAATAAAATTTTCAGCTCACCATGCAATGCTTTCTGAACTTTAACCCTTCATCAGCTTAGTTCAATAAGCAGGCTGATTTACCAATTTAGATAAAATTCTTATATCACACTCTGTATAGTCAAATGTGTTAATAGAAGCAAGTTTATAATAGTCCTAAATATGCTAACAATATTCCTCTAACTTAAATCTGAGTTAAATCTGCTCCTCTGTTCTGTGAATGCAAATTACAGCATTTCTCAGTTTGTACATTTTTTATTTGTTAAGTGTATCACTTAGAGAAACTAAAATGCAAGACATGTGTAAACTTTTTTAGTAGCTACCTTTTCAAAAGTTTAAAAAAATCAGGTAAACTTAATTTCATAATGCATTTTATTTGACTCAATATATCCCGAATATTACCATTTGAAAATGTAAACAATAAGTAAAATAGTACTAAACCATACTATATAATTTTATTGTCTTTGTGCTATCTTCAAAAAATAGTGGATATCGTACCCTTCCATGCATGCTCAGTTCTTTCAGTCGTGTCCGACTCTTGTGACCCCCTAGACTGTAGCTGCCAGGCTCCTCTGTCCACGAGGATCCTCCAGAGAAGAATACTGGAGTGGGCTGCCATTCCCTTCTCCAGGGGATCTTCCCAGCTCAGGGATCGAACCTGTGTCTCTTGTGCATTAGCAGGCAGATTCTTTTACCCTTCAAGCACATGTCAATTCAGACACTAAATTTTCGTTGGTTAAAGTGAAATAAATGTCAAATAATCTGACTAAAACAGTAAAATTGTGTTTAGTAGAGAATATTTTACAGAGCTTCAGTTTTAACATTTAAATTAACTAAAATTAAGTAAAATGTAAAACTCAGCTCATCCATCGCACTAACCATGTGTAGCTGATGGCTACAATACTGGACAATATAGATCTAGAACTTAGAGTGATGGCAAGCACAAGACTGCGGGAGCATTGACACTGTCTGTGAGGCCTGAGGGATTAGACATCATTTGGGGAGAGGGGATGTTAGAATCTCCATCCTGTTCTCCATAGTGGCTGTATCAGTGTATATTCCCACCAACAGTGTAGGAGGCTTCCCTTCTCTCCACGCCCTCCCCAGCATTTATTGTTTGTAGATTTTTTGATAAAGGCCATTCTGGGGTGTGGGGCTTCCCATGTGGTACTAGTGGTGAAGAACTCACCTGCCAATGCACAAGACAGAAGAGATGTGGGTTCATCCTGGGTTCGGGACGATCCCCTGAAGAGTGTGGCAACCCACTCCAGCATCCTTGCCTGGAGAATCTCATGGACAGAGGAGCCTGGTGGGCTACAGTCCATGGGGTCACAAAGAGACAGACACGACTGAAGTGACGTAGCGCACACAGGCGCACATTCTGGGGTGCGAGGTGGCACCTGACCGTAGTCTTCCTATATAATTGTGCTGACGTTGACTTGTGGCTGTGCTGGGTCTCTGTTGCTGCGCAGGCTGCTCTCTGGTTGCAGTGCATGGCCTTTTCATTGCGGTGGTTTCTCATTGCAGAACACAGGCTCTAGGGTGCTTGGGCTCAGTAGCTGAAGCACATGGGCTTGGTAGTTTTGCCTCCTGGGCTCTGGAGAACAGGTCCAATAGTTGCGGCTCATAGTTTCAGTTACTCTGCAGCATGTGGAATCTTCCCAGATCAGGGATCAAAACCGTGTCTCCTTCGTTGGCAGTGGTATTCTTCACCGCTGAGTCACCACTGAGCTACAACGAGGGAAGCCCTTATTGTAGTTTTGATTTGCATTTCTCTAATAGTGATGTTGAGCATCTTTTCATGTGCCTCTTGGCCATCTGCATGCATATATATGGAATCTAGAAAGAATAGTACAGGTGAACCTATTTGCAAAGCAAAAATAGAGATATAGACGAAGAGAACAAAAGTGTGGACACCAAGAGGGGAAGGGAGGGAGCAATAATTTGAGAGATTCGCATTGACATATATTCACTACTGTGTATAAAATATATAACCAATGAGAGCCTACTGTAGAGAGCAGGGGGAAATAGTAAAAAAGAAATAATAATAAAAAAGAAGAAGAGAGTAAGCTTTTAAAGGTGGTAGGGTCGTAAAAATGTGAACTTTGGAGTTAGACTTGACTGTCTGTTGATTTTTATCTGTTACCGCTTCCCACTTCAGTTTTCTTATCTGTAAAGTAATAACACCTGCATTATTGGGCCCTTAAATTAAACGATAGAACTTAAATAGTGGGCTTTGAAATCTAGCACATTCCAAAGGTTCAATAAATTATAGCTTGATTGCATGTATGAAAGTCATGAACTCTGCATTTAAGAGAGGGGAATCTCTGAGGTAGTTAGAATTTGAATTTAATTATTCATAGGGTGTAGGGTGGGAGGAAAGAATTGTGGCATTTTTTATAAATTTTATTACATTATAAAACATGTATATATAGAAAATTGCACCAATCCTAAGTATAAAGTTCAGTGGATTGTCACAAACAAACATACCCACATAACCAGCACCAAGATCTAGAAACAAAACATCCAGAGCATCTCAAAGCTCTGTGCGTGCTTCCAACAAAAGGAACCACTTTTCTGACTTTTAGAACTTCTTTGGTAGCTTAGCGGTAAAGAATCCGCCTGCCAGTACAGATGCAGGGTTCATCCCTGGGTTGGGAGGATCCCCTGGAGAAGGAAATGGTAACCTACTCTAGTATTCTTGCCTGGGAAATCCCATGGACAGATGAGCCTGTGGTCCATGGAGTCAGACATGACTTGGCAACTAAACAACAGCAGTAAATACCTGACTCCTAACACTGGGTACTATCGGTTGTTCTTGTCTGTTTGTAAACTATAAATGGATTCATCAACATGCAGATGTACATATCTGACTTTTTTCACTCAACCACATATTTGTGACATTTTCCATGTTGTTGCATGGGACATTAGTTTGCTTTTTCCTCATCGCTGTGCTGAATTCTACTATATAAACACCCCTACAGTGTATTGATCCCTTCTACAGTGGAGGAGTATTTGACTTGCTTCTATAACGGGTCTATGGCCAACAGACCTGCCATGAGCACTCTTACATGTGTCTTTTGATGATGGGTAAGCATTGGAACTTGAATTTTCAATCTTCAACTTGTTGAGAGCAGGAGACTCATCCACCCTATCATTTCATGTGCAGGAACCTTGGATAAGCATAAAGAACTGGAGGATCTTGTGGCTAAGTTCCTGAATGTGGAAGATGCTATGGTATTTGGGATGGGATTTGCAACAAACTCAATGAATATCCCTGCACTCGTTGGAAAGGTGAGGCTCTGTTAACATAGTTGTCTTCTGCTGTGTTGTTCCTGAGACAATCTGAGTAGATTCCCTGTTAGAGGTATAGCTGAGAAGTTTCTTTTCTTAGGATTGGATGTTCAACTTTTTGAATATATGTGCTATTACCAACCAGGGTCCTTTCCTAATCAATAGAAATTGATGAGACCAGACAAGAGATTAAGGCAAGGCTTTGTTGGGGCCCCAGGAGCAAATATAAGTAAGAGTTTCCCTTACCTTCTCACTCCCTGAAGGGGGACAATCTGGTTTCTTACATGGGGTGAGGATAGAGGTGGGTCCAGAGGTCAGGCTGAAGGGATGGCTTAGGTGGTTTGCCCACCCCTTTGGTGATGTTGTGTGCAGGGGACATGTGCAGTACCCTGGTTTTTTTTCTGACTCTTCAGAAGTGGCAGTTGTGCTTGCATTTTGTTGTCCGTAATTTGCAGTGTATGCATGCAGCTATTTTTTAGTCCCACAAAAATAGTTTCTTTGTCTTCGTTGCTTGAGAACACAGAGAGGTTTGTCTAGGTGCAAGCTCTGCAGCAGAGGGTCCCAGGTCCAGGTCCCAGCCTGCGTCAGCCCCAGCTGAGCCCAGCAAGTGTCTTCATCATGATATTTCAGGTATAGGATCTCAGCCCTAGATATGAGTCAAAATTCCTCTTCAGTGACAGTTTAGCAAGATCAATTAAATTTCTAAACTCCTGAGTCACCATGTTCAATGTAGCAAATGATTGTTAAGCATTTATTTAGACAAAACATTTTGCTTATGTAATTCACTTTTTTATTCACTCAGTAAGTCACTTATTGAGAATCTGCTGTGTCCTCTATTGAGGCAAGATGTAGGGCATACAAAGGTATACAAGACCTTTGTCCTGTAAATTCATGTAGTTTACAGTCTAATGGGGTATAGTGTCCAACTCTATGCGATCGTATGAACCATGGCCTGCCAGGCTCCTCTGTCCAAGGAATTCTCCAAGCAAGAATACTGGAGTGGGTTGCCATGCCCTCCTACAAGGGATCTTCCCAATCCAGGGATCAAACCCGCATCTCTTATGTCTCCTGCATTGGCAGGTGGGTTATTTACCACTAGTGCCACCTTAGGATAAATTTTACAGAAAAAGTGTGCCCATAAATGGGGAGGGACAAAATAATTCTTTCAAGAAAGGCTGGGATGCCTATGCAAAGAAGGTGACATGAGAACAGAATCTGGTACTTATCTGTTTAGATAAGTAAGTTATTTCCTTAAGAGAAGGAAATGGAAGTATCATGTATAAAGCCCTGAAGTTTGAAAGAATTAGAACAGAAGAGAGTGGATGAAGAAGAAATCAGAATGAAGACAGGAACCAAATTGTAAAGAACTTTGCAGCATAAATGGTGCTAGAGTGTTGGAAATTCTTCTGGAGAAAAATGGAGAGTTGGTTGCTTCATTTTCAGTAAGCAAGTGCCATACTCAAATTTCTGTTGTTAAAAGTCTGACTCATGGCAACTAGTATAATGCAATATATAATCTGTGATTGGATTCTGCAATGAAAAAACAAAAAAGAAGGAAATGAAGCCTCTACAAAAGACATCAAGACATTTTTAGGACCATTGGCAAAGTTTGACTTTGAGCTATATAGTAAGTGATGACTCCTTGTGACCCCACGGACTGTACCCCACAGGATCCTCTGTCCATGGAATTCTCCAGGCAAGAATACTGGAGTGAGTAGCCATTCTCTTCTCCAGCGGATCTTCCCAACCCAGTAATCAAACCCTGGTCTCCTGCACTGCAGGCAGATTCTTTACCATCTGAGCCACCAAGGAAGCCCATTTTAGGTGACAGAATTGTAGTAATGTTTAATTATGATTACTGCATCGTGATCGTGTAGAATGTCCTTTTTCCTAGTAGATACATGCTAAAGAATTTAAGAGTGAGATATCATGATTTACAACTCTCATATGTTCACCAAAAAATTACAAACACACACACAATGTCTGAAGTATGGAGATGTGAGAATTTTGCTCGCTTTGGCCTCGAAAACTTAAAATGTATCATGTGTGAAATTTCTAAAATATAAGGAAGAACTCAAAGATTCTGGATGGCCACAAAGGAAAAAATGCTTTTTTTTTTTCATGTCCCTGCATTTTGAATATGGTTGGGCAATTTCATAATTTAGAAATCTTTAAATTAATAAAGAAAAATAGTTTATAAACATTAATTGATAAGCAGTAAATTAGACTGACCTTCTCTCCCAACCTCAGACTGAATTGCCATCCATGCTTTTCCAGATGCAGTTTTTAACTGTAAAGCAGTGATGCTTCTGTCTACGTGGATATTACTATAATGTGGAATTAGAATCATAAAACAAGAGCTTGAAATGTCTTGCAGGAAAAAAAAAATGAGTGAACAACCCTGCCTTCTAGTCACAGTGCTTCAAAACCATTTCAAATAATCCAGCATGGAATTGAAAAATCCCAGCAAACCCACACCCCACCCAAAAGTATATTCATTTTCCTGCCAACCATCAATCCTGTAGCATAAAAATAATTCAGAAAGATGTTACTTCCTTAAGAGGATCCCCATCTCTATCAGCTAATTGCTCTTGAAGGTCTTATCCATGGAAACACATAAACCCATTTAAACTCTTGGCCTTTTAAAATTAAAGAGGGCTGTGGGAATCCATGTTACAGGTCTTGAAGTGAGGTCCTATTCCCACGTGTTTCTTCCCCTTTATTTTATTTACTGGCCTGTGATCCATGTGCTTGCTTTCTACACAGGGATGCCTCATTTTAAGCGATGAGTTAAACCATGCATCTCTAGTGCTTGGGGCCCGACTCTCAGGCGCGACCATAAGGATCTTCAAACACAACAGTGAGTATCAACGATTTTATCGAAGAGGTACCACTTGCTCCTAGACAAAAGTAAAGATTATTGATGCGGCTCTGTCCTTGCTCTTCAAACTGGGAGCTTAGCTAATGAAACACAGTTATGTTTATATTCGCTACTGGCTTGTTAATCTCCGGTGACCTGGAACAAATGGTTGAACTGCATTAAACACCCAGATTGCTAAGTGTAACCCAAATATATTAGCATCACTGTCATTAATAGTCTTCTGAAGCTATGGCAGAGCTCTTAGAGTGCATACAATTATCAGAAGTGTAAAATTGCCTCCTTTTTTGTAACTCTTCCTTGGGAAAGTTTGGAGACTTAAGTTTGTTTGTTTGTTTGTTTTGGTTTAGTTTTTTTTAATCAAAGTATAATTGATTTAAAACGTTATATAAATTTATCATTTCTATTGTTAATTTCTGCTGTACATCTAAGTGACTCAGAAATGGCTCAGTGGTAAAGACTACTCCTGCCAATGCAGGAGACGCAGGAGATGTGGGTGCAATCCCTGGGTTGGGAAGATCCCCTGGAGGAGGAACTGGCAACCACTTCAGTAGTCTTGCTTGGAAAATCCCAAGGGCAGAGGGCCCTGGTGGGCTGCAGGCCACAGGGTTGCAAAGAATCACACATGACTGAGCACCCATGCAGTCATGCATATGGTTTATCTCGGGGTATTGAGTATAGTCCTATACAGTAGGACCTTGTTGTTTATCCATTCTGTATGTAACGGTTTGCATCTACTAAAATTCCAGTTCTCCCCTCCCCGGTCCACCCTCTGTGAGTCTATCTGTTTGATAGGTAGGTTCATTTGTGTCATATTTTACTTTGTTTTTTGTTGAGTCTTGTTGATTAACAACATTGTGCCAATCTGCTACACAGCAACATGGCTCAGATATACACATCTATACTTTTTTTAATGTTCTTTTCCATTATGGTTTATCACAGGATATTGAATATAGTTCCTTGTGCTATACAGTAGGACCTTGTTTATCCATTCTAAATGTAATAGTCTCCGTTGGAGATTCTACAAAGATGAAGACAATAGGTAGATAGGGTGATAAAACAGATGGGATGTGTTCATAGCAACCACAAGTACAGCACACAGCATGTGCTGTGCTATGCTTAGTTGCTCGTCATATCCAGCTCTTTGCGACCCCATAGACTGTGGCCCGCCAGGCTCCTCTGTCCATGGGATTCTCCAGGCAAGAATACTAGAGTGGGTTGCCATGCCCTCCTCCAGGGGGTCTTCTCAACCCAGGGATTGAACCCAGGTCTCCAGCGGCAAATTTTTTACCATCAGCCACCAGGGAAGCCCAAGAATACTGGAGTGGGTAGCCTATCGCTTCTCCAGGGGATCTGCCTGACCAAGTAATTGAACTAGGGTCTCCTGCCTTGCAGGCAGATTCTCTACCAGCTGAGCTACCAGGAAAGCCCAGTATACAGCATACATAAATTTACAACCATTGATTTTTTTTTTGTTCCTAAGTATAGGTTTTGACCCAAGCATTTGTGTTCCTGTTTTATAGCCTACTATAATGTGGTCCTAGGCAAATTACTTAACCTTCTTAGATTGTTATTTAGTAATTCCAAAAATAACCTCTATTATGATGCTTGATATGGTATGAAACTAATCTCTATTATGATGCCTGGTTCACAGTACGTTGGAAAAGGAATATAAAATGCCTGGTAATAGAAGCTTAGCACAAGGCCTGGTAATAGAAGCTACTGAGTTGTTTGTACCTGCTGTGTTATTAGATGAATCTAGTAAAAGGTACCTGGGTGTTCTTTGTAATATTCTTATTCTCGCAAATATTTTGTTAAGTTTGAAATTATCTTCAAACAAAATTGTAATTTCTTAGTCCTTTGGCAAAATTACAATCGAAGAATTTCAATTTATCTTCCAATTTTACAAAGCTCTTAAAACACTCAGTAATTTATTCTTCATGCTTTCTCTTTGGGCCCCAAACAATAGATAACAGTTCTCATTTATAAGTTTTAATAAATGCTCACTGTGGTTATTTTATACAAGCAACTAGCATTTACTGAGAATTTACACTGCACCAGATGCTGAGTTGATGATCTTTCCTTATGTACTTATTTAACCCTGTGGACAGCCCCATGAGGTCAGTACTAGTTTACAGATGAGTAGATTCAGGCTCCAGAACAGGTTGCTTAATACCTGTCTAAGATCAGTGCTGCACTCAATATGCCAGCAAATCTGGAAAAGTCAGTAGTGGCCACAGGACTGGAAAAGGTCAGTTTTCATTCCAATCCCAAAGAAAGGTAGTGCTGAAGAATCTTCAAACTACTGCACAATTGCACTCATCTCACACGCTAGTAAAGTAATGCTCAAAATTCTCCAAGCCAGGCTTCAATAGTACATGAACTGTGAATTTCCAGATGTTCAAGCTGGATTTAGAAAAGGCAGAGGAACCAGAGATCAAGGCAGAGGAACCAGAGATCACATTGCCAACATCCACTGGATCATCAAAAAAGCAAGAGCGTTCCAGATAAACATCTACTTTTGCTTCATTGACTATGTCAAAGCCTTTGACTGTGTGGATCACAACAAACTGTGGAAAATCCTTAAAGAGATGAGAATACCAGAACACCGGACCTGTCTCCTGAGAAATCTGTATGCAGGTCAGGAAGCAACAGTTAGAACTGGACGTGTAACAGCAGACTGGTTCCAAATCAGGAAAGGAGTATGTCAAAGTTATATATTGTCACCCTGCTTATTTAACTTATGTGCAGAGTACATCATGTGAAATGCTGGACTGGATGAAACACAAGCTGGAATCAAGATTGCTGGGAGAAATACCAATAACCTCAGATATGCAGATGACACCACCCTTATGGCAAAAAGCAAAGAAGAGCTGAAGAGGCTTTTGATGAAAGGGAAAGGGAAGAATGAAAAAGTTGGCTTAAAACTCAACATTCAGAAAACTAAGATCATGGCATCCAGTCTCATGGATTGCCATGGCATCCAGTCATGGCAAATAAATGGGGGAACAGTGAAAACAGTGAGAGACTTTATTTTGGGGGCTCCAAACTCACTGCAGATGGTGACTGCAGCCATGACGCTTTTCCTTGAAGAAAAGTTATGACCCACCTAGACAGCATATTAAAAAGCAGAGACATTATTTTGCCAGCTAAGGTCCATCTGGTCAAAGCTATGGTTTTTTCCAGTGGTCATGTATGGATGTGAGAGTTGGACTGTGAAGAAAGCTGAGCACTGTAGAATTGATCCTTTTGAACTGTGGTTTTGGAGAAGACTCTTGAGAGTCCTTTGGACTGCAAGGAGATCAAACCAGTCCATCCTAAAGAAAATCAGTCCTGAATATTCATTGGAAGGACTGACACTGAAGCTGAAACTCCAATACTTTGACCACCTGATGCAAAAACCTGTCTCATTTGACAAGACCCTGATGCTGGGAAAGATTGAAGGTGGGAGGAGAAGGGGACAACAGAGGATGAGATGGTTGGATGGCATCACTGACTCAATGGACATGAGTTTGAGTACTCTGGGAGTTGGTGATGGACAGGGAGGCCTGGCTTGCTGCAGTCCATGGGGTCACAAAGAGATGGACATGACTGAGCGACTGAACTGAACTGAACTGAAGACCCATTTCAGGGTTTTAACCTCCAGAACTGTAAGATAGCAAATTTGTGCTATTTTAAAGCCATAGATTTGTGCTAATTTCTTACAGTAGAAAACTAATAGACTTTCAGTCTCAGATACATAAATCATTTTTCTCACTCAGTAATGTACTCAACCCAACTTTTACCCATAAAGAATTCTCCCTGCTGCTGTATTTACATCAGAACACAACCACCTTTGAGAGCAGGGCTAGCTTCAGTGTCCTTAGAACAACTCTCATTTGAGATGTTCCAGAAATGAGATGGTATAGGGAGGGGGAAATAATTCAGTTTAGCCACAGTAGGTAAGGTGTCAGTAGCTGCTGGCTGTCTTTATTGCTGGATGAGTACTTGGATCACAACTGTGGGCAATTACTGTCCGCCCTCCAATTCTGTGTGTTCCACATCCACCGGATTCTACCATCCACAGACCGGAAATATTTGAGGAAAAAACTTCCAGAAAGTTACAAAAAGCAAAACTTTAATTTATCCTGGGGTAATCATAAATACCTCAGTAAACAATGATACTTTAATCCTTAGTAGGTATAAGTGCTGATTGGAATAAGGTAGAGATTTTCAAAGAATCTGCTGAAGATACAAAGTTGCCTTCCTGTGTGTATAAGAGGTATGCAATCAGGCCAGATAGGAGCTAATAACTTGTGAGATGGATTTTAAGAATGGCCACCTTCATGATGTATTTAAAGTGATGAAAGAGAAGAACCTACAACCAATAATAGGCTACACAGCAATCTCATTCAGATTGGAGGAGAAATCAAAAGCTTTCCAGACATGCAGAAGTTGAGAGAATTCAGCACCACCAAACCAGCTTTAGAACAAATGCTAAAGGAACTTTTGTAGGCAGGAAACATAAGAGAAGGAAAGGACCTACACAAAAAAAACCCAAAACAATTAAGAAAATGGTAGTAGGATCATACACATCAATAATACCTGAATAATTACCTGGGTTAAATGTACTAAACAAAAGACATGGAATGACTGGGTGGATGAGAACACGTGCGTGTGTGCACTTCCACTTACCACATCACTCTACCTAACCCCCCAAATTGTGTGTAATTATTTTATATTGCTAGGTTAATTGTATTTCTGTTATGGCTTGCAATTGTAATTATCTTTTATTTTTTTGTCTGGCTACTGATTGTGAAAACTGATAAACATCTTTACTGTTGTGATTATGTAACTATTATTCACTTAATATCATGGTATCATGATTGGTCAACAAAAAATGATAGAATTCTATCTCACTAAAACTACTATCTAATAGGAAAAGAAAAGCTCTTCCTCTCTGATCCCTGTCTGATGGGCATGTTCCAAGGCTTTGAGGAAGA